AAAATTAACCACACACACACACATATGTGCCGTACTCAGCAAAGCTCAAGCCTTCTCCGACGATTTGGTCGCCACTCGACCGCTGTTCTGGTCGCCTGAGATCCTGCTACCGACAGGGAAAGCAATCTTGGACGGGAACTTCCCAGCCGCGAATCGTGCGCAAGACCTAAACGCGGGTAACGTCCGCGTCGTCTCGCGCGTCGATGGTTAGGAGAACTTTGATTTTTACGAGCTGCCAGCGCTAATACGGGACGAGCCGCTTTTCTCGGACGTATCGTCGGACGTGAGGGAACACTTCCGGACACTGGACGAGGCGCCCACGTCGAGGAGAGGGCGGAAGCAGGGAGCCTCCTCGACTGTATACGCACGGACTGAGACCGCTCGTCTCGATCGAGTCGGGAGGAGGCGGTACCGCGAAACTTCCAAGAAGCTGCACGAGTGGTATGTCAGGCTTCTGAAGCCGAATCACTCCTTACGAGGAGACTCACCTTCAATGTGCGTGTATTGTGCCCCAAGATCAGAATCGATGCGATAGCATGTAAATATGGGTGACACTGTTTATACTCTTATAATATGATATATTTATAACAAGCGAATAAACGTTCATGTTTTAATGGAGCAGCCACTCGACTTGCTCTCTGTAAGTGGGGGGAAGTTGTCATATGTTCAGTGAGTGAAGGCGCGAAGTTTCTCTTTCTCCCCTGGGATTTCGCGACTAACCGAGTCGTCCACGACCGCTTTTGTTTTCCGTCCACCCCATTCCCTCATCTTCTCTGCTCATTGAAAACTGACACAAGATGCATCATCCGACATTCGAGTTCTTCTCCTGTCCTCGAGCTTGTTGCCGATGGAGGATGTTTTTTTTCTAGCTTCCCCCCGTTCAACTGGGATGGGAGGGATCCATCGAGCATCCTCAGAAAGCTGGGTATCCGATTACGTGTCACAGAAACCTGACTGGATTCTCCGACTCAATGGATGATACAGGGAGGTTCTACGAAACTTTCTTAGATGCCGAACGAGATCCGGTATCGACGTACCCGTGCTCAGACTGATACAAATGCCTAGAACAATATCGTTCGACTTGGAAAAACGGAAAGGAGCACCCATGAAGAATGAGCTTGGGTGCCCCGAGAGAACTGATCACTGCGATTAGAGACTAGCGATTAAAGACCCTAGTCGTAAACTGATGAGCGGAATCCGAGATCAACTCCGCACAATCGAGAAGATCTCTGCCCTCTCCTCATAGCCTTATTGGTTGTTTCACTGGTTCAGCGGGAGCCTTGCTTGCTGCGAGTGATCGGGGAGAGGCGCCCAGTGAGTACCCGCAGTCTCACCTTCGGGGTTCATCTTCGGAGAGGGCTCGGAATTTAGAAGGAGCTCTCTTTCGTATATAAAGTTCGTGACCTCCGAATCGAGACAGTCGCGACGATAACACTGCCGAGGTGCCTTCCCCAGCGGACAGCAGCGAAATGATGAGTGAATACCATTCGTCGGATGTGCCAGACTCTCGGGACCTCCCGCGATCCGATGAAGAGCAGCCGATTCCGGGGACCGTTCCAGCGACCCACAACCAGCCCGTTTCCTTACCGGGCGGGAATCGTTCTCTCGAGTTGGGCACGTATGCCGCCAGGCTGGATAGCCAGTCAGAACCAACAGCGGGGCGGAAGCGCAAGTTAAACACGCCCAATGCAGGACGGGCTCAGGCTGCTCGCCTGGATCGTGGTCGCGAGGGACACATTGAAGATGAGGAGGACAGGGACTTCCGAGAATTCGCCTTGAAGTTCTACGGGCTCTACCAGGAATACCAGGCAGCACGGGTGAAGATCGCAGAGCTCGAGAAGGCATTGGAGGTCGCTCATGTCTAGATCCTCAGACAGTATCCAGAAGGCGGAGCAGACTGCCATCCTCAATTAGGGTCCGTGAAGAATCAAGTGATCTAAGTTCTGCAGATAAGATTCACCAAAATAAATATCTACAAACCCATATTTCTAACGGCGAACGCTCGAATCATATCCATGGGATTCGCGGACAGTCGGAGGTCCTGAGTCCTGAGACTACTCGCCTCCGACCATGGAAGCTGCCAATCCTCATGCGGAAGTTGCGGAAGAAATCGGGAAACCGTGAGAATCATCCATGTCACTTTGAGTTGAAGTCGAGAGTGGCCAGTCGTTCCGTACAATTTTGAAACACAACCGGTCCGGAGAACTCCAGACGCGGAGAAGAATGCCGGAATCGGTTTTCTGCGTTGGAATGAAGCCCCGAGTGGATCGCTCAATCGCGTCCTTTGGCCAGCCCGACCCAGTTCTTCAATTCGAGAGAAGCCCTTGAGGTTCGCTGAATACAGAGGTCAATGCGTCTGGGACGAATCTCCCGCTTGGCTCACCCGTTCTAGGAGAGCAAAATAAGCCTTCTTCGACTAATGACAATTTGAAATAAATCGACAACAATAATTAGACAACGAATATTTCCGATTACGATATTTCCCCCCCTGGAACTTTGTCCCCCGAAGCGAAGCATACTTCGGCTGAGGAACCAGTTTCGTCTCCCATCCCAGAAAACTTTCATTCTGGGAGGCGGAATTCCAGCCTCCGACTCCTTCTTTTATTTCCCCGAGTAGACCGATGGACTCCATACTCGTAGGGCAACAGCGCGACCGTTCTATCGAGTCGGAGGATAACGACTCCCATTACTAGCTTTCCGCTTATCGAACGGCTCTGTGGAAGGGATCGAATTCGTGGAGGTTTCACCCTAGTCCTCTGGTCGATAGGACCGATCCGGGAGAAACTGGGAGCAAAATCTCCGAATGAAGATCTCGCTACCGCCAGGTACATCAGCCCTCCTGAGCTCCTCCGACGGTCTCTCAACTTGGGTCGACTCGGAAAATCACATAACCATTCCATGATCGCCGTCGAAGATATGAGGCTCGCCAGAGCAGCTTGCGCATTACAAGCTTTAAACAGGCTTTCTGGAAAACTTTCACTCTGCGCCTTGCTCCAGCTCAAGATGTGCTCCCGTAGACGATTGTGAGAGGTTCGTCGGGTCGTGATTCGTGATTCTGCTTCCAAAAGTCCATAGAAATGTCGTTCCGAGCGCTTCGTTGCTTTCGCAGGGACCTAATTGCGCTCACGGGCGATATCTCATACTCTCGGAAGATTCTCGGTTGCGGCCCTTAATTTAAGGCACTCCACAACTCATACTCGAGCTCATTCAATCATTTGAGATCACCGCAACCGAACCGTGGGCGGAGAACTTTTCCGATCGGGGAAAGATCGCCCAGGAAAGGCAAGGCAATGAACTTTAATCTCTCACAAAGTCATTTGTTTATTCAAAGTTTCCATCCCTTCAAAGGTTCAGATCTTCGAGCGCTTGCGCACATCACTGTACGCTGACTCCTAGCGCGCAGCACATTTTGTACATTGCCGTACATGAGGTACGTTATCTCGATGGAGTAGGAATCAATCGGTTCGTTGCTCGATTGAAATTTTATACAGAAGATGGGGAGCCAAGATGACGCTATGTGTGGGGGAATTCGCGATGATCGGCCAATGAAACGGTGGTGTAATTGTCGTTCTCCTAAATCCGTGCTGGAAGATTCTCTCCGCTGGCCATCTCTGGCAGACGATGGACAGAAGAAATCTGATAGATGTTTCCTCTCTACATCGGTGTATAAGAATAGATGGATACATATTTATATGGCGATGTAAAAAGCGCCGGCACGGCGAAGGAGAAACATGATTACGCTCACGCAAGACTGACGAAAAAAAGTTGACAGAAGATGGAGCGTGAAACTCAAGACAATTTGACCTCGAGGTCTGATAGCGTTGCTCATTGCAAGGAACATGGATCGCCTTCGATAAGGAGAGCGTGAGAAGCTTTCTGAGATCGGATCATGAAAGGGAACATTGCCTGAATGGTTTTTCACAGCTTGGATATGGGAAGCGAGAAGCCGAAGAAGTGCACACAGGAACGATCAAATGAAACTTCGGGTTTCTGACAAGACGAAGTTCGAGCTCCAGGAACGAGGCTGATCGCGCAGGCGCACCTGGAGTGCTGACCACACGTCACCCTCGTTCCGGACTCTGTCTCCCGTTGGCTCTCTCCCAAAGTACGCCGAAATATCCGCGAAGGGCGTCGCACGTATCAATCCTGATTAAATGCATGACGAGATCGGGCAACATTCTTCGAATGACCCAGATACTCGAAAATCCTTGGTTCCTCAGGGATAGATATGGGAGAAGAGAACATGGCTTCGAACTTCGACTTTTCGGACAGAACAGAGAAGCTTCGAAAGAATACACTGAAAGTGAAAGGACACCGAAGAGACAAGCTGGAGAACCACTCCCGAAAATCGCGTCATTAAGGTTGGAGTGGGTGGTCGTCGTCATCTCGACCTGATCGAATCACCACTTGATGTCGAGGGATTGCGGCTGGTTCACGATTGCACTGAAACTTATGGGGGAAACATTCACGGTCATTTCCACACGCTCGCTCGGACACAAAAAAACAGAGCCACACACTGCATAGATGTCGCTGGCTTAGTCGCTGTCACGCATCCAAAGGAACGAAAACGCTTGATCATATAATCTTATGTACAAGTGCATCATCAGTTCGACAAGGCGAACAACTACAGTTGCGGCTTCCCGACGAGAGGGCGTTCGAGAACGCTCTCCGAGCTCTCTCGGGGGCCTCTTGCGCCAGGAACACGTCTCTAGCCTCAAACAATTCAATCGATCACCACTCAATATTATCGAGGGCACGTCGACGACGATACGATGAAGGAATCCTCCTTCACCGAGTCGATCGTTTCCCTCAAGTGCCATCCGTTGAATGGACTCGGATCGAACACTCGTTCCGAATGGCAAAGCCATCAACAGTAGGAACTGTCGGGTCTAATGGACAGATTTGTACAGGTTATGTACAAAATAGTTAAGGCGACACAACGTGATATTTGGGAGACGGAAGGTCGGATTCTAGAAAATTCAACAGGCTACAAGGCTAATCTATACGGAAGACGCTGCTGCGGGACTCGAGACCGCCATCGAAGCTGCCGGTCCCGGCGCCGCATTGCAGTCCGTCACCGGGGCCGATTCCGGGACCGCGAGCGTCACGGGTCTCCCGGCGCGCCAATGGTACAGAAGACTTGTCAAACATGCTTTGTGTTGCGAGAGCGTATCTCCTGGAAACAGAGAGAAGAAAGCCATCAGATGTCATCAGAATGAGTCACCTGCGAATCGCTCGAGTATACAGATCACGAGTGTCCTGAATCATTAACTCTTCTTCACTCACCTTCGCTCGTTTGCACTATCTCTCCGAGACTCTTGAGAATATCTTGACATTCTTCCCGGTCAGCGTCTTGCAGCTGTTTAGCTATGTCCTCTTTGCTCCAATATACCTCGAAATCTTTGGGAAGATCAGCCATTTGTACTAAAACCTTACAAGCGCGTAATTCGTGCTGACTCTTTGTGATGTCTTCCACGCGGGTTCTTTTAGCCGCGCGCACGTCTGGGTTCTTCTCGTAATGCTCCCCGTTCCCGCGAGAGTTTCTCGGATTTTTCTCGCAGCTCTTATCCGCGAGAAGCGAACCGTTGGAAGTAGTTCGGCAACGTTTTCCACGAGTTCGCATTCTCGAGGGTCGTCGCGACGAGGTTTCTGCGTTTCCGTTGCTGTTGTTAAGAACGGAGCTTCCGGTGCTGTTGTCCTGCACCTTGACAGCAGCTGCATTTGTCTCTCTGAAAGATTCACAATCGAGGCTGTCGTTGTAATTGTTGGGGTTGGTGCTGCTGCTGCTACAGGTGTTGTTGTTGCTGCTGCAGTTGATGTTGTTGTTAGCCTCTGCGAGCTTGCCGTCGTCATCTTCGCCTTTCTTCAGATCAGCATCTTGGATTCGCTTCTTAACAGTTCCACCAGCGGGTGCCGAAACCCCCGAGGTGTGCTCTGGCGATGCTCCTCCCTTCGAAGATCTTTTCCTTAGCGAAAACACCGCGTTCGGAGTGACAACGTTTTCACACATATTGATTTCGAGCTTCTTAATTTCACGTTCGAAAAGTCGTTTCGTCTTCTTGTCGTCTTCTTCGTTCGACGGTGCCGCGATCGCCGGTGACGAGTCCTTGCTGAGGTCGCCTTGGATGCTTTGAGCCCGCGACGAGCATTCCGCTTTGGTGCTGTCGGCGTTATCATCGTTCGCGGCCCCGAATTTCTCGTCATCGAATACCTCAGGTACGATTTTCCCGCTTTCGTCGACACCCTTCGGCTGAACTACGCTGCTTGTCGTCTTGCAATGATCTTTCGGCACAACCTGCTCCTCGGTGGTTTCCCGGTGACCGTTCAACCTTTTTAGTGCGTCTTTCCTCAGCGTGTCGTCGTTTAGTTTCCCTTCGGCTTTGACGATAGCCACGCCCCTCTCTTTATCGTCGTAAACAGTTCGACCTATGATGGCGTCACCGTTCTGGAGAGGAACCACTTTTTGATCATAGGTAGGGTTCACGTTGATTGCGCCTAGATCTTCATTTTTCAACGAAGCCAGATCGGCGGGAAGCTCATCTGTTTCACTGAGCTTATCGATCTCGTCGGTGAGCGATTGAATATTCGTCAGCAGATCGACTTCTGGCTGGTCCGATAGAAGGTGTTCATTCAAAAACGAATCGTCTAGAGCATTCACTGGAGCTTTAACTTCGTCAGGTCTCTGGACACTATTTTCTTCAGGCTTAGGAGCCTCTACGGCATGGCTTTGCTTCCTCGCCTGGAACCATGAGGGGGCGACATGAGCTCAATATCATCGTTCCCTCAAAACGAGGGAAATCAAACCTATTCTGAGAGAGAAACGGGTCGGACCGGACCCAGGCACGAGATTCCCGACGTCACTCACCTTCGGGCGGAATTTAGTCGTTAAGCCCTTGGCGAATCTATCCTTGATCTCGTCGTCCGGGGGATGGTCGTGCTGCTCGTCCAATTGTTTCACCTCCAGGCCAGTGCCGTGCTTGTTCAGTTGAAAGCTTATTCGTGCGTTGCACGATCCGACGGGCCTAAAATTAGAAGAAGAATTTTTGATTCTCGAATTATTCGGCAGAGCTGTTCCTCACGTATCGACTCGTGGTGTCCCGCGGAAGTCTCGCCGAGCTCTTGCGCGTCGTGACCATCCCGGAAAGTTGGTGGGCGACGCTCATGTGGAGACAATACGAATACTCACACTCTCGCCGCGTTGGAGTCGACCGGTGGAGTTTCTATCAGCTGTCCGTCGTCGTCCCGCTTTTTCTTGACGTAGTTCGATACCATGGTTAGCTGCCGAGATCGCACGCAACGAAATTTGAGCGCAAAATACTTTATCCCAGGATCCGCATTGGCGTTCGCAAATTGCTCTTTCAGCTTCTCTTTGCCTTCGATGCGTTTCAGGAGCATTGAACCGATCTTTCTGCAAAGACGACTGCTTTCAATATCGCAATCCTCTCTCGACCTCCTAGATAATCCTTTCCCCTACCCACAACTAATTTATCCACAGAATTTGCCCGCGTAGAAGCAGACAGAATACATGAATATTCGGATACGAACCTGAACCTGTAGCCCATCGGAGACGCGTATTTCTCGACGGCCTGTTCTGCTTGCTTGTAAGATCGAAACAGTGCTCCCAGGTGAAAGTCCGGAACCGGACCTCGAGCCTTATCGTCAGCTTCGGCAGATAGATCTGAATCAGAGTTGTGACTACGCTGTGAGGCATTTGAAGATCCTGAAGTTCTTCTAGGCCTGCCCAATAAGGCCTGTAAAGTTGACGCTGCTGCCTGCTTATTGGGTGACCCTGAATGTGAAGAGTAGAATCACATTAATTTCGGTAATTTCCCACAACTCCTTCCCGGGCATAATTTTTCTCAATCCGCTTCCCCGATCCGAACGGAATCCCCAAGCGCTCCGCCGAGAAATCATTCCGGTAGCGCATCTCAGGCTCAATGACTGAATGCAGGCGTACGAACTCACCAACTTGAGGCGGAGCCGATGCGCTGAGATCTTTAAGATTAATTATTTGAGTATGTTGCTGCTGAGGGCTGTGTTGATCGTTCGAGTGATTCTTATTCTTCATGGACGTTAATTGTAAGGGACCGGTGGGTGCTTCCGGAAGACTCGACTCCAGACAAGACATTAGAGGTTTCTGAGTTGATCCGACGGCCGAATCCCCGTCTGGCTTCATCGGCTTACTATCGTTGTGTTGTACTCCGTCGAGAAGCGCTTTTTCCAAATGGGTACCGAACATTTGTTGCGAAGCTTGCCCCAGTTCCGTGTAGAGCATACCCGGGGCCTGTTCGACGTAGGGATTCATCGTTTGAGCGGAGAGGTGCTGATGAACAACCGAGGGTCGCATCGGCGTCGGAGCCTGCGGTGCCATCTGGTCTCTACTCAAATCAGTTGGAAGCGGCGCCACCATTTGCGGCATAGGCTGCATCTCCTGATAGTGTTGAGTTGGAGGAGGCGGTGGCATGACCTCGGGCATCGGTGCGTAATATTGCGCTTGTTGTTGCTGTGGCGGCACCGGTTGTTGCTGCGGAGGGGGCGGCTGATCTTGAGCTAGTTGTTGGTACATCTGTGGGTTCTGAGGGAAACTTGGCATGTGAGGGGCTTGCAGCTGGTTCTGGGCCGGATGGCTTTGCTGTAGAGCTTGAGCGTTCTGAGGAGGAGCCGGTCCCGCCATTGGGACCGGGGGCAAGCCTTGGGGTAGGTTCTGCTCGTGATGATGAGCCGGGGGAGCAGAATACAACGGTTGAGGAGGGTACGCCGACATCTGTTGGCCCGAATAATCCACCTGCTGGTAGTTTGGCTGTTGGTATACTGGACTGGCGTATTGTTGCGGAGCTCCTTCGCCGTAAACCATTGGTGGTTGCTGAAAACCTCCCAGGTGGCCGAAAGAAGGTAAGGGCAAGCCCTGTTGCATATCACCCTGATTCGGCTGCTGGTAGGTCGCCATATCGTATTGTGCAGGTGGCGCTTGGTATTGCTCCATCGGCTGGTACATCTGCTGATCGTAGTACACGGGCGAAGGTTGCATCATGGGACTCATCGTAGGATTGTTATCGTGGTTCGGTGGAGGGGGTGGAGTTTCGTCGACTGGTGGTCCGCACTCTTTCAGCTCGAGGGCCACAATTTCGAGTTTTTCGCCATCTTTTGTGACACCCATCCGAAACCACGTGCCGCAGTCGCCCGTCGCTTTCCTGGGGAAGAAAGACTCAATCGTACATTCGACTCTTTCGCGCTCTCAGATAATTTTCTCCAGTTGTCGCGGTATCGGTCTACGGAGAAGGGCTCGTGGAGTGTTGTGTCTGTTCATCTCGAGTTTCGATCCTCGTGGATTCTATTGCCCAGTAAGTCCGTCATACAATCCTTCATTGGTGTTCAATTACTTTCTTTGCCGCGGTGAGTCGGGCTGAAATCTACCGGCCGGAGTTAAAACAACAGCTCCGTTGCAATGGAAACGGGGGAGTGAATAACATGTGGAAAAGCTGAGAATCGGAATCAAGGATCAGAACGATTCGATTCGCTCACACAGACGCGCCTTCCGTGGGCGGAATATTCGAGAGATTCACAGCCTGGATCGTATACCTCTCCCCGTGTCAAGGAATAGAACGATCCAACTCGGAGGGGGACACCTCACAAGCTCGCGGGTATCTCCACCCGGTAAGTCACGACGGCGAGTGAGCCACAAATCGACGACGACCGCCGCTGGGCTCGAGATACGGCTTCGATCCAGAGCGAAATAAAACTTACGATTCCTTGCGACTGCAGTTCATTTTGAGTTTGTAGTATTTCAGTCTTGGCTGAGGCGGAGGAACGACGTTGTTTTGAGTTGCCCATTGCACGGTTTTTTGGTAGTGTTTGATGAATCGATGCCGAGTCGCTTCCTGGAAGGCCTGAATCGTCGACATAAACTCGTCATACGAGCTGAACTGTTGGCCGATGTGAAGAGACATTTCGGCTGACGATACTCGCACCACTTCAAGATCACCAGCTTGTTCTGTTGTAGCTGTGCTTGTCCTATCTGGAAGAAAAAGGTCACTCAAACCAGGCCATACCGATTCCGAGAGAACAGTCTCACTTATTTCGCACTGTGATCGTCGCACGGAACAGTTCGAGCAACCTCAGCCAGTAAAAGCTACGGCCGCCGCTGCTGCGGTAGCTACTGTTGCTTCTACATATTTGATGGGTTGCCACCCAGAATTGAGGGGCAACGAGGACTCTGTCATGGCACGAGCGACTTCCCGGAGCTCTCACCTCATGACGGTCGCAGAGAGCGTATGTTGAAGGCCGAGGGCATCTCGGACCACTCTGTGTTGTCAACTCGAAAATATTCGGGTCCGCAGGCTCTCACTCTACTCCGATTTGCTAGAAGCCGCCATCATGCTTTGTTTTTGCAGAGCACGCATGCGCCGTCTCGGTCTTCGACACTCCACCTAGCCGCACGCATTTACTTCGAGTCTAAAGCTGGCATGGACATCGATTCACGACTCACGACACGAGCTCGCACGTATCAATGATAAAGGATGGGCTCAGCTGCTCTGTATACCAACAAATCGGTGTATATTGCAGATTAAAATGGCGAATGTTTCACTGTGATGATTAGATGCTTCGGAGCAACCAAGCACCCGAACGAGAGCATGAGCAGCTTTGTTTGTTTGCGAAAAGAGAGAGCAACACAAGAGAAGCGCCGCCGCGGCGGCGATGGCGCGCGCGAGAGGACAGACGACTAAACGCCACCGGCATGTGAGGTCCGATGGCTCACGGAATTCAAGTTCCCCTCCGTTCAATGATCCGTTTGCTTATCAGAGGCACCGCGATCCCGAGGATCGAGTTCTAGAATGTACCGATGGGAAGATACACTCCTCTGGACATGACGTTCAGTTTGGAGCCCGTGTGTATTAATGCATTGGCGTGGGTTGCCAATATATTCCGATTTCATCTCTCTTATCCGCCTGGATCGGATTCAGGACAAGTGATAGGCTTCACGTGTTTTCGAGCATGATCCTCTGGTCAAGAGAGGTGGTGAACGCTATGCTTAGCTAAGAAGTTATCGTTCTAAATGCACAGTACCGGCTCTTCCGGTCGGGATTTCCGGGAGCGATGATCCCGTTTGTCAAGAAAGAGCAGTCTCTCGGCCTGCTGGGATGCATTGCCTGCAGTCGCGTTCGAACTCCTCGGAATCGAAGCTGAAAGAATTTTTCGATTGCCGAGCTCCCTCGGAGGGACCCGAAAATTGTTGGGCATCTGCTGTCAACAAGAGAAAAAGGAGAAAGCTCGATCTGTACGGATCGCGTTGGTCGATAGCTGAGTTTCGTGGCGAAGGGGTCGTCATCCGAATGAATTATCAATGCATCTATCATGGAGCCCATGTCTGCGAGCTGGGAGTGATACGCCTGTAGCTCTTTCTCGCGGCTCTTCGCCATACTCGATATTTTCTGTTGGACACTCAGAACCAGGAGCTCACCCAGGAGGAGGGGGCGGAGGAATTGGGCTTCATACTGCCTCACTTGCGTTATCGACTCCATAACTGAGTTACCGCGATTACTCCAAAATGAAATCTATTGGCTCTCCGTGATTCAGACTTTGCGATGAAAGTTTTCAGCGTAAATTCCCGGATGCGGAGGCCGGCGTTGGAGTCGAGATGTCTCTCTGAAGCTTCTCCACGTGATTCAGATGGAGGAGATCTCCATCAACCCGTATGTTTGATCATGAGACAAACAGATGAAGAGGATTGGTTCTCCGACAATCATCGGTGATAATTCGGAATGTTGTTTGCCATAGAAAAAGCATCTTACTCTCGCCACTCGAAGATCAATACGAGCTCTTGTATGAACGAGAATCCACCGCGTTGGACACCTTGTGAATGTGAGAGAGCCGGGTTCTCACCTGACAGCAGAGGGTACACACACGTATATCTATCATGAATCATGATTGATTCTAGACTCCGAAGGAGATGGAAAAACAGCGAGCGGTGCTGACATCTTTTTTCGGTAAAAGGAAAGACCTCGAGTAGCCGACTCCTCTCTGAGTCAATCAATAGACGAGCAGTCTCTCATAGATGGGCACATCCGGGGGGGGCGAGAATAAGATCAGGGAGGTCCGGTGGGCTGAGAATCTGAGGAGCATCTCGCAAGCCCCGCTCGACGAGATTACTCATAATTGAGGCGTTCGTCTGATGAGTTTTGCATTCGGACCATGAATTTTGAAGAGCATCACGAGGGAGCGTCGAGCGTGTGATGGATCCGAGGTGATGACTCAAAACCCGCCGAGAGCCTCCGTGTTCCCTCGACTTCTGACAAGCGTGCCCAAGAGCGGTCGTATTAGGCCCGCCTTCCCTTCATGTCGGGAGCTCCCTCGAAGTTCAAGAATCACCATCACGACCCTGAGATTTCGAGGAAGCCTCGAATTTTTTGCCGCGACTAGATCTCAGAGCTCCCCCACCTTGAAACTCCGGCCCCCTGATGGGGGAAGGGGTTTAGACGAGGCTGACTCCAGACTGGATCTCGGATCTCGGTGAGTGTCCGAGGGCTCATGATGGAGAAATATTAATGGCGGAACAACTTCAGCAAAAGGGATTAATCGTTTCCCTCCTTTCATCTGCGAATAGAGGACTCTCGTAGCCAATCCCGAGAACTTTCCTTTGCGCGAAATCGACTGCGGAAGGCTCATTCAAACTTTTGAAAACCGCGGTATATTCAGGGAGAGGGGTAGCAAGCAGGAGAGAGCGTTAGTTCGTGAACACACAACATTGGGGGATGATACGAAAGCAGCCCGGAATAGCGAACCGCGAGTGCTATCTCGGAATCAGTCTCCGAAATTAATTTACCGGCTGATTAGGTTGGGAAGCGCATCGCTCCGCCTCTGAGCGAAACGTCGCCCCGCAATCGACCCCAGCCGCTCCAATTGAAGTGACACTGAGCGATGGCGAATAAGCCGCCTAGCAGGTGAGAGGAAATTCCGGGACATCACACTTGTTCTAGAACGTCGATCCCGTCACCGAGCTCCTCGGTATGAGTGGGGGCTCCCTGCGTCGTGATTCATCGCCATGACAGGACGGCAGAGATCATGAGCTCGGGGAAGGCCCCATGGCAGAAGCGACGACGAAAATTCGAACACCAAGTAAAATCATAGTTTCGGGATGTTCTCGTAAACCGCCTCGATAATTCATTGTCAGATGGAGCGAGTACTGCGAGATGCACGAAGTCATAGAGGGGACTCGTTTTCTGCCATTCAAAACCCCGTTCAAAAGAGTGAGTGATTGTCAAGCTTATTCTCTCGGTGGCGATTTGGAGTTATTTAACAGATGCATTCCATCATTCCAGGCAGTCCTCAACCCGAAAAATTCTATTCGGGAGAGCTTCAACGCCATTGATTTGCTCAGAAAAGTCGGGAACCTGGGACTCGTCTTGAATTTAGTCAAAACAGACCGTTACTATAATGCAGCGGTGAGACATTGAGAATCCCCGTGGGGACCGATCATCGATGTTCTGAAGATCTATTGGATGATTTTTCCATTTGATGATCCCACAATTGGTGGAAGCGGCGAATGAATCACAGAAACCAGACGAATTTCAGTTGTACGGATCGAAGAAAGTCGAATATCACCACGTACGCTTGACTGGTGGAGGGAGGGTACCGTCTGGGGACGAAATTGCCGAGTAAGTTCACACTATATGACGCGCCCGACAGGGAGCCCGCACGGAGACACGGAGCCCAGTCAACTACAGTAAATGTCTTTCACATCCACAGTGTGTTCCGTCGACTTGATCGATTTATCCTCCGCAACAAGGACGATCCTGCGAAACTCATCGGAGTACATTGTACTCATGGAGTGAACAGGACGGGCTATATAATTTGTCGGTGAGTGAGGGCGCCTGATGAGGTCGGACAGTGCTGTACCTATATTCGGTGCTGAGCTGCCAGACCCCGTGGCGTCGATCAAAATGAGGATCGTATTCGAAAATCATCCTCTTCCAATCAGGTACATGATTTGTAAACTCGGATTCGAACCTGACGAAGCTATCCGGAGGTTCGAGAAGGGTCGGAGGCATCGATTCGATCATGAAGAGTACGTAGAGGCTCTGCGTACCCTGCGACCGGCAGTGGATGATTCCGCGAGGGAATGGCACTCTGTGGGAGGCCGCATAATCAGCGGTGAAGAAGAATCAGAAGACGATTTCGATCCCGACGAGCTGGAGCGTCTTGCACGGAAACGGAAATCTTCTTCCTCGGAAAGGTCCGAAGGAGTCGGAGCACTCCGTGAACACCTTTCAATCGAATTCTTCAAGACATTAGGAGTGGTAACTCATATTTGATCTCGTTCCGATCACCATAGGTCAGCCAATCACCGTGACTCCAACGGCGGGTTCTCCACGGCGGGAGCAAAACGCCGGGGACGCGAAGACGCTGATCGACCACGACGGTGAGATTCTTGACCGCTTCGATGTTGGGTCTGTCCCGGATAAATTGAGCACGGATGTGATGTGCAATTATGAAATGAAGTTAAAACCGGATCGGCTTTCGAGTTCGGTGGCCTCGCTCCGTGAGGACATTCGGGCTCCGAAATGCATTCTTCGCTCTGATAGTGATCGAAGCTACGCCTATGAAACTCCGAGCGATTAGGGGAAACTTGCCGAGGGATTCTCGGCTTTTTTCCCTGTGAAAAATTTGGAGGCCGTATTCTAACCGAGTCATCTTCGGCGAGTGCTTACAGGCCCTGGAGTTCCTCTTCTAGCTCGAGAAGTCGACGAGACGATCGATCGAGAAGTCCAGTGAGAATTTCTCGGAGGTGGGCTGAAGACTGTGGACATTGGATGTGGTTAAGTGCATGGTCCTCTGGAGCTGGACTTCTTTTCGTCTTGCTCCAGAAGAATTGTCCCCGCTCGTCCCTGTCCCGGCGTGCTTCGAAAGAGCATGTGCCCGAAAAGGGCGATCCCCGTTGACTGCGCCTTCTCAATTCCCCGCTTGCTTCCAGGGACGGCGGTGACCACAGGAGCTATGGGGATCGGAGTTCGCAAGGAGCAGAATCGAACGATCGACTCTGGCCCTACACTGGACATCGAACTCCTGGAGGGAGGTTCAATGCGCCGGAGTACCTCGGACCTCGGCATGAGGATTGGAGGCGGAGGTACTGACATGCGTCACGTTCGAGCGCGATGAGAAAGAGAAAAATAATTGTCCATAAATATATCCAATATGATATTATTCTGATAAATACGTAAATTGAAATTGCTTCTGGGTCTCTTGATCTCCGATTTGTTCGCTAGCGGCTGCTGATTCGCGACGACCTGTGAAAGGAAGCCGAGCGGTAGGACTGATTCCTGGTTTTCATATTCCTCTCGAGTTCTCTGCTTTGAGTCTCTGAAAGAATCAACGAACCCGCGTATCGATCGAGCCTCAAATCCAAGATGGAAGGAGCGATGCACCGTGCCGACGCAGGTACTCCTCGCCGGCGCTCCGTTGAATTCACTTCGGTCGCTTCGTCGCGCTATGCATCGTCTAGTTTTTATAGTGAATCTCTCCGCTTGAAGTTCATTCCAATGGGAGCGATCCTGAGCTTCTGGGCGCTGTCCCCCAGTCGGCGACTCCAGAGGGGCCATACTTCCCTCATTCAGCCTGTATCATAGAGGAGTGTCGCTGAGCAGAACCCATGCGTGATTATGAGTACGGCCGTCCACACTCTTGAGAGAGCTTGCTTGGCACCGTTTTATGTGAGGTTGATTCCCTCTTATTATTTGGGTTGACTTTTTCGACTCTGAAATCGACTCCGTCATCCTTTTTCCCTAGGCTATACTTCCTGCGCGCGTCCATCGCTCACTCGTGTTCCCTATTCAAAATCATAATCGGCTCCCTCGTGTCCTTGCGAGCGAGACTGTGTTCCCGGGAGCCCCGTTCCCAAACTTTCCCATGCTGGGCGTCGGGACTTGATTCGGATGACTACCGCTCGCGACAGGATGGAAATCGGCACGCTGCTCAAGTCGTTCTTTGCGAGCGATGGAAACGAACTCGCGGGGTCCCAGACACGCCCTGGTTCTGTTCTATGTGTCCCCATCAAGGAGTACCGCGAGCCTCACTCCACATGGCGCTCACCAGCTGACATATCCGTAGGATGGGTCCGAGAAGTGATCCTGTGGAAGCTCTGTGATAACTCCGTGAGAAGCGTGACGAGCCAGTGATGGAGTCGGCTGAGAAGCTCCGAGCATTACTGGGGTCCAGCGTGGACTTGCCGGAGCGACTCGGAGACGAAAAAGATCGCCAAACGTACCTCTTCTTCATGAAGAGTGTATTGACCGGTTTAGATGTCAGTGAACACAAACGCGACATTATCTGTGCACTCAAAGTCCTCCGCCCGTCGGATCAGCTCCGTGAATTGATTCGAGCCGTCTCGGCAGCACCCGAGGGCTTCAGAAAACTCGCCCTCGTCTACTTGCTCAGTACAATACTGACTCGAGATTTCCTGGCCAAACTCTTCCAAGAGCATCTCCCTCGCTATAGCTCAAAGATCACCTGTCAAGCACTATCGAATCTTCCGTCGAAACTCGCCAACGAACTCAAGTCTGAGCTGCCCGCTCCCTTCAGCGAAAAACGCTTCGCGAAACTGTTATCATCAGCTATTTCCGATCACCTGGACAGGATGGCTGAGAATCTCCGCCGGAATATCGACAACGATTCAATCATGATTTCAACCTTATTCGGCATGTTGGCTCGTCATCACCACGAGTCACTGGGGTCACTCGTCCCATCGATTTTGGACAGGTCGAAAGATTTCGTTTTCCGAACTGTGGCGCAACGTCTAGTCAGAAATGTTCCTGCAGAGCTAAAAGAGAATTTGGTTATACTCATTTGCTACAGAACGCCTTGCTACAAGCAGATCGACTGGCTCCTCGAAGACACCGTTGTCACGGATTCGAACATCGAGCACATCCTAGTGCAGAAGCTCCTCCTGGGTAGATATTTCCATTGTGATCGAGTCGTGCGCAACGTCTTCGGATACTTGCTGAGCTCCCCGGCGCGGAAAGCCATAGCTTGTAGAGCTGTCGTCGAAGTGTTCCATGCCTGGGCGGATAAGGTGTTGATGCGACATCAGGACATGCAGCAGCAGTTTTATTTGACCAGTGCGCTTCTGGTCGTCTGTGGATTCTTAAAGAACGGTTTCAAACTCGGTCCCCAGTCGGAGGAAGCCTGCGTCAAAGCCTGTCTCCACGGAGTGCAGAACCATCTAGGAGATCCCGATGACACGTTGAGGAACTTCGGCATGATCGTCGGACAGGAATTCGTTGGGAGCTGTGAAGTCTCAAATCAAGAAACCGGACTTTCCGATCGCACCAGGCCACGGGGAGCTCCTCGCTTATTTGGAAACCTACAAAGAAACTGTGGAAACGGGAACGCTCGAAGCCAGAGGAGAGGACCCGCAAGAGGCAACTGCTGTGGATAGCGACGACGATTCAGAGCCAGATGACGATGACGACGTCGTATACAAAATTGATCCCGCATGTAAAGTTCCTCTGTATCTTCGGGACGCTCTTCAACTTCTCATTCCCGGGAAAGACGGTGAACATTTAGAACAGATAAACATCTGTCTCGAGCATTTACCTCAACTGATCAAAAAGTATCCCCATGAGCTCAAAGATATTGCCGAACAACTCTGTAGGCTGGTGCTCTTCGCGGAAGAGGCACCGCGCGTGTTTCCGAAGATGCAAGCGTTGAAAAGAGAAGCCCTGGTCCTGCTCCTGATCCACGCTCCGCTGACGTGTTCCACGTACCTGATAGATACATTCTTCAGTATCCACGTGAATCATCGGTATCGCGTGGAAATTCTCTCGGCAATAATGTTAGCCAGCGATCGATTCACGAACGAGGACCCGAATGTCAACGTGCCCGACGGGAAGAAACCTCGTGATGTCACTGGATTGAAGGCTTCGAATATCCACAGGAATCTGGATCGACTCGTAAGCAGCGGAGGGAAGAACAAAACAGAATGGTCCAGCGACTGGGAGGATTCGTTGGAAGACAGTGACCAAGTGCTTCAGAAACATTGGCGCGAGGTTATCGAGGAAAGAATCGCCGGGAAAACTCGTAAAATCGCATCTGGAACCGAAATCAAAACCAGAGAAAATCGTTTCGGTCAGGTCGTCGGCCATTTTTTCTATCCCCTGATGAGACATGTTGATGCAGAGGTTCCCCTGAAACTCGAGACCGACGACAGCTTCCTCCTGGTTAAGCTGTTGCAAACTCTGGGCGTTTTGATGAACTCAGCCCGGAACACCCCGCAGGCTTATCAGATGGGGAAAAGCCTCTTACAGTTCTGTGGACTATTCCGCTATCACGAGCACCAGATGATTCGTCAAGCTTGTGCTTTCGCTGTTGGTTCTGTGCTCTCATCGGTTCCCGAAGAACTCTTGCAAGAGCATTTCTCCGAAGATTGCTCAGACCTTAGCCAATGGGTCACCGGTGAGATCGCAACGAGCGTCCCAGACTTCGAGATGAAACTGCCCTCGGTCGGAAGCGAAGTCTCCGCCGGACCGATAGCGATGAATTCCAGGCGGATTCAAGAACTCACTTAGAGAAGAGAACTTGGATTCCTTCTGCTGTGAATAAAATGGGAATACCTCGAGTCGAAGAGTTTTCATCATTCCTTTTCCCTCACAGTGTGCCGGAAAATGATTTCCCACGAGGATTTCTGCTCTGGATATCAGTCCACCGAGGCATCAGGGTCTCGATTCGGACATAGTTCCGGGCCGTATGGAAGTCGAAGATATTCCCATCATCGGAGAAGCCAAATCGAACGCTGCTCTCCGGTGAGACTTCTGATCGTTCTCACTTTCCTCTCCTTACCGGATTCGGAGCAGACCGGATTCATTCAGCTGTCGTCCCCGAACTTCCGTCGGACATTTTTTCCGGGGAAGCGCGCATGAATATCAGAGCCAAACTGATCGTAAGGCCGAAGGCGAAGATCGATGAAATCGCCATCAGAGAAGAACGAGAGCACTTCCTCCTTCTGAACTCCGCAAACTCGGTTCTCTCTTCAAGCCGCTCCTCGGGGAGGACATTTGTGCTGAACATATTGGCGTTAGAGAAGAGATCCGTGAAAGTGCTAGCGAGTGGGTCTGTGCTTTCCGCAAAGTGAACGTCGGTCATTTGACCCGTTTCGGTCATAAGGGATCCCGAGTGATAGAATCTCGATTCCCGATTCCGTCCGCTTGAATCATCGCGCAATGTAGAAGACATTCCCGAATGATGGAAATGATCAGCTACTCGTGCTCGTCCAATGCTTCGTTTTTTCGGTGGGGCAGCTCGCTCATCCTGATGTTTTTCTTCATGATCGTCTACTTTCCCGAACTCGTGCTGGCGCGACGAGAGCCAACGTCGATGATCATTTAGAGCGAGCTCCAGGCTGAAGACTGAGGGACTGGGGCAAGCTCCTTGAACGAAACTACAGGCCGAATTACGCGGACCGCTCTTGACGAAAGAGAGCGTCAAGCGTGTCACTACAATCCACCCAAATACCTGTATTTATTGCAACCAATGAGACATAAATCGAGGCCGATGCGATGATCTAACGCCTACTGCCCTGATTTCTCCTCAGCAAATCGACGCTCTAGTCGCACCCGCTACGCAACCGCTACCGGGGTATTCAGACCCGGAGTTGGCTCGAGGCTCGACCCTGTCAGGATGCCAAAACCTTTCTTAACAATTTCACTCATATCATAACCCGCGACATATACACCGAGTACGATTACGGACGCCACAGCGATCGTGGCGATGAACGGCGACATTCTCCTATACCAGGAGAGCCACGGAGCTCGGCAACGTCTCCTCGAAGTTCGAAGAACTGCTTTTTTGGCGAAAATGCTCTCTCGGAACATCATCTGCCGCCGCTCAGAGGGCAAAGACATCGTCTCCGTAGAGACGATTGTGTCGCTGAGCTGTGCGCTCATCTGGGGTCGTTCTGTCACGACATGGACGGGATTCTCTTTCTCATCGACCGCTGCCCCGGCCGCTGCTTTGGGAGCGCGGATATCCGGGGGTCTTCTCGACTTTCTCTCATCGGGAGGCAATCCCTCTTTTCCGCCAATCTTCCGGGCTCCGTCGGCATCTCCTTCCTTTTTCTTTCGGTCGTCTTCTATTCGCGCATCCTGCTGCACGGGAACTCCGACCTCGATCTCAACGTATTCACCATTTTTCAGTCGAGTTCTGGATTTTTTTCTACCTGACTTCATGCGCACTTAAGGAATGATTCGACGACCGATCGATGGTAGATGACGATGAGCTCGAAACCTCTCTCAGACGCTGTGGCGCCGACGGAGTCGAAGTTGCGTGGTGAGCGCTTCATGTCATCCTCCCAGGAGATCGTATCCTGAATCCTAATCCTGATCCCTCATAGTTTCAGGGGATACCCTGATCTTGCCGTCCGATCACCGCGAACCGCGAGGGAATCTTAGGGAGTCTTCGTCGTTTTCGAAGAATACTTTTCTTCGTGATACTGGTGCATGGAGCATGGATGACGTATGACGTACGAGTGACCCCTATCTTTTCTTAGGGAGTATGGGGAGTCTGTCCGACTTTATTCGATTCAAAGTGCCGAAGCTCTCCTCCCCGGGGCTGTGAGGAACACTCCGTCGTGAGTCGTGAAGCTCGACCGCTGGAACGCTGGATGCTCCGCGCCCGGGAAGCGTGGTGTTCCCTGCGACGTGGCGGCTCGAGGAACATCAGCGTCAGTTCAGCACATGTGAGGATTGAGGACCACAGACCTCTCCTTTGTCCGTCTCGTTTCATTGAGGCGTGGTTCTTGACCGGGATCGGAGCGCTAGCCATAATTTCCTGCAGCGCGAATCGATATCCTAGCTCGGAAAGCCTCAGCGTTTCTTTTTTGCTTCACGGACGGGTTGGCTATAGCGTCTGTATATTCTGCTCGCAGTACCGCCGGGAAAAGATTTTAGACAAGTTCTCGGGATATCGCGTCGAATTGGTTGACGGGGAGTTATCTCATCCGGTCATTTGGCGTTCCCACGGTATGCGAACAACGAAGCTCAAAGAAATCTCGACTGAGGACCGAGGACTCCCGCCTCGCGAAGGCATTCTGCCGGAATGTGGTCAGAGAGCTCCGGTAATTTATGAAGCCCGATATGGACACGGATCGAATGAACTTGATCTCTCGGAAAGTTCACCGCTGATTCCGTCGTGGAAAGTCGACAAACATCATCATCAATCGATACGCATGAATGTAATGAGAATTTTCCTCAGAGTTTGAAAAGCTGACAAAAGTTACCGGAAACCCAGCGGCGGGAGCCTACACGAGGTCGAGCGCTGCTCTGTCCGAAGTTGTAACAGAAGACGTGGTTCCAGCCACCCTTCTGAGCAAAGCGCTAGAAAAGCCTATTGGATTGCTCGGATCAAGCAGGGGGTGCCGTTTAATCAGTTTCGCAGTGCTCCTCCTCCTAGCGGTGAGCATATGGAGAGACTGGGACTCTTCGCAGAAACTGCTCGTAACGGACGGTGAGATACTTCTGGCTCCACATATGTATGTCAAAATTATCGGGTCCATCCAACTTGACGGATAGAACCTCACGGTAGTTTCTCCTTCACGATCCGGTGATCTCGGACTTCTTCGGCATGTTGTTCCATGAAGGAGTACGAGAGCAACATCGCAGTACAAGATTTCAGCTTATCTTTCTGTCACCTCCCAGATCCGGAAGCGTCAGAGATGCCCGAGGAAAGATCCACCGGTTCGTACTCGTTTCCTCGTTCCAACGCGCCCGGAAAGCTCAGACGGTGAAGGACACCTAGCTGGACCTCGTGATATGAGGACTTTAGGTCTGCGATAGCCGTCCGTATGCATGGCCGTGGTTCATTGTTTAGGTCCTGAACCGCCGCTGAGTTTTATGACGGAACTGCCGGGAAACTTTTATATCACTTCGCAGATGCTGCGCACCTGGATGAATATTTACGGGCTTCAATAGCGACAGCGCTTCAGGAAACAAATGAGATAATGGCGGAAACATTCAATGGCTCATATTGGAATGAAGAGTTGAGTCGTCTCAAGTGGAGATACAACATTTATGAATCACGATTGTCTTTGGTGCCGCTGACCAACGACTCACTGACTATCGATACGAACTGTGAGGAATCATTGAATCATCTACAGTCCATCCGCGAGCGATTTTGAGACCTGCTACATTTTAATTACCGAAAATATTTATTCGTCGGTCCAGCTCAGCCTAGAGCCGTGACAGGGGTCTTCGGACTCGAAGGATTGGCCTTGGAAATCAAACATTATTGCGGTTGGGCCTGGAAAGAATATTCTTGTACAACTAAGTCGAAGCTGAGAATTGACGTGGCACTGGTGATCCCGGACTATTCGGCGGAGCTCCCGTATCTGAAAACTTTCGATGTGAGTCGTCCAAAAAGGAATTGTCTGTCGTTTCCTCGCATGCGATGGTGCTCAAACGAATGGAATCGGCTGATTATGAAGTCAACTAGGGGCGAGAACTTCGTTATTTAGTGCGATAACTCGACTAACCTAAAACGGAGCAATATATTCAAGGGTCGGGTCGAGGACCTAGCATTGTGCAACTATGATGGTCGGCCCTCATGTTTTTGGCTTCCAAGTGTCAAAGACACACTCGATGCACTTCTTTCGTTGTTCCAGCTATATTTGGATAGCTACTTGGGGGTGTTTAAGGAAGTTTTCGAGGCCACTCTGAGGAAAGTCAGGGACGGATGATCGCGCGTTTTTGGGGAATCTTGTGAATACGTCGAGCTTTCATAGTTTGTACCATGGAGAAGTCTTTAATCCGTGTAAAAAATGAAAACGAGTCCCTCTCGCTCCGACACAGTGTTTTTCGATCGAGTAGCGAAGGCTTCGAGAAATCCTCCTCGATAGATAGATCGTCCCCTTCCAGTGCATCGGAAGGGCCAAGCAGAGCGAGACTTCCTCGAAAATAAACTTACCCGCGTTCTCCGCATCATCAATAACTCATTGTCTTCATCAGCCTTCATATTTTACGCTTAACCCGAGAGATGCGATCCTGGCGGCGAAAAAGGCAGGGCAAGATCCTCCGCCGTTCGCGAGCATTTCTCATGTGGGAAGTCGATCTCCAGCTCATGAATAGACACGATCGGGTGAAGGAACCGGCCCCGAAATACAGACCCCATCCGCGTCGAAAGTTCCGCCCGATCTTGTGAGATTCCCTAACCAAGATTGAAACTCTGGGTGACACTGACAATAATCCTGAGGTGCGTCGAGACTCGAGTTCACCCCTGTCAGGACCCCCAGCTCCTACGGAACCGTCTCCGCTCCTCCATGCGCCCGATCTTCTCATTTGATCAGGGCCAGTCGCCGTCTATTCCCTCAGAAGGCAGCGTGAATTTTGAGTGACTGTCGCAGTAATCCGCCCTCTATCCGGAAAACGACAAGTCCGTCCCCGTCGGATCGCCAGGCGTGTCTACCCGGAGGAGTTCCTGTCTGAACAGGATTCTCTAAGGAATTCCCGCGAAGCAGCTATGCCGCCTCCCCCGCAGACGATGATTCCACTGTCCTTACGAGGAATGGGACCTCGCCTCAGGACATGGACTCGAGGAACACCGTCCCCGACAAGGCGACTGTGCGCGCCGAAGATTCTGACCTGACGGTGACTATGAGATGTGGAGATAAATAGCTGTTTGAAGCCTTAAGTGTCGCAAACAACGAAACACCTATTTTTAAGCGGAGAGACATGCCTTCACTGTCTTTCAAAAAAGGTGAAATCATTCTCCAAGAGGCCCCGTACGCCGCAGCTGTCAATGACGTGTCTCTGCAAACCATTTGTGCCTACTGTTTTGAAGAAGCCACTGTGGAGCCCTGTTCAAAATGTAAAACAGTCGGCTACTGCTCCAGAGAGTGCAAGGTAACATCATGACTCCTAAGAGCGATGATCGGAGATGATTTTCCCTCAGTCCTCTGGGTCCAAGTTCGTTGGATTCTTCGGTTCCCTACTGGCTGCGCTCTTAATGACTTTCATTCCTCTGCGCAGCGGAAAGACCACGACGACCACGCCATGGAGTGTTACGCGATGACCCACGAGAGTGCTAGGAATCTCGACACCGAATGTCGTCTGGTGATCCGAGCCATCGCGAAACACCACCGAGAGTTGGCGAAAAATTCAGTCAGCGTCGGAAACTGGTTCGGGATCAAACGTAGCATCATACATCTGCTATCGCACCTTGATCACTTGGTACAAAATCCGAGAAAGTACGCTGAAACAGCAGCAAAAGCTAGACGAATTCTCGCCGTGATTCAAGACAAGGTCCCATGCACGTACGAGGAGGTCCTCGCCATGATCATGCGGATGAGGATCAACACCTTCGGGGCGTCGACGTCCACTGGTCTTCCTAGCGTTGTGGCAGTTCATCTTGCCGCGTCGAAGTTCGATCACTCGTGCGAGCCGCAGATTCCCGTCACGCACTTATTCAACAAGCGCAAAATTTGTTTCCGGGCTGTCGAAGATTTCACCTGTGAGCGCGAAGACCTCAAAATAAGTTATTTGCCACCACTGATGAGCTACCCTGCTCGTCAAGAGCGTCTGCTGAGCCACTATTACTTCGAGTGCGGCTGCCAGAAGTGCTGGGACGACTACAATGCGGGAGCGAAAGAGGACTGTCCTCCTGAAATCATCGAAGAACTCGAGACCCTCCTGGCCTGCGGGGATCAAGACCAGATCTACGAAGAGGGAACGAAGATTCTCGAGAGAATGACCGGACTGCCCGAGGATAACTACTGGGTCTATCAGCTCCGCTGCGCCCTCCAAGCGGCTGCTTTCGTTCGCGGTGAATTCTATGAGAGCCTTCAGCACGGATACCACGCCTTCATCGTCACTCCCGCTGCGTCGTACCAAGCCACAATTCTGTACAGTATGTACCTCGCGCTCCATGAGCTCGGCTGGAACCAGAAATCGCACGAGCATCACGATTACTTCGTAGAGTGCGTCAAAAAAGGCGAGCGTTTGTTCGATGTTTGTTTCGGGAAAAGACACACCATTGCGTCCGAGCTTCGTCGTGCCGTTAGAAGTATGAGACTTGGCGCTTGAGCGATTTCCCCAGACTCGGAAGTGTCTCCAATAAATGTAGTCCGGATACAAGTCTCTCTCACCCCAATTCACTGAAACTTCCTCGCACCGAGAAAGTCCTTCTCTAGGATTAGAGCTTTCAGATATTGAGACCGATACCGAAGCCCACGAAAAATTTTTGGGGGATACGAGACCTTGCGAGTAGTAGGTCAGATATTACCTGACCCTCCTCGACTCTTCGAGTAGGGTGGCAGGAGTAATTCGATGGAATGTGCATGAAGGTAGGGTCCGGTCTACATCTAGAGGTCGGTCCTAGAGAAGAGCCGCGGGCAAGGGGAAGACGGATTTTCTTTCAGACTCGAAGGATTTTCGCGGTCGAGCGTCATGGAAACGAGGAGAGTTGGCATTCGGCATTCTTTATTGGTAGTGTTGATAACAGAGTCATCAGGGGTTACTCAGAATTCCCGCTAGCGAGTGCTCTTACCCTCAATCTCTCCGTCTCGAGCGAGAAAGCTTTTCAAAGCCTGTGAGGCCCGGTACGAAACATAGTACTGAACCGCCGCGACTAGCGTCATAATGATCAAGACGAACAAGCCAACGTCGCGAAGACGTTGTACTTCTGTTGCGATGGAGCATTCTTCTCTTTCGAGTCCGGTGCGGCCGAAGACAAATTTTTCGAGGGAGTACTTTTGGACTTCGTATCCGAAGGCATCGCTTGAGTAATTTCCGATTTGGGAATGTCCAACTTGACAACGTCCGACACGAGAGCGCCTACCTTGGCAGCGCCTATCTTGAGAACATCCGATTTCGAAGTTTGCAGCACATCGTTGACTAAGCCTGCGCCTTCCATGACTCGTTCGGTAGTTCGGTCGGTAGGCTGACGAGGGAAGTGTCAGAGTTCGACCCGTTGTGTTTTCGACGAAATTCGCAGAGTCGGTCCGCGTCAGCGTCTCAAAGATGGCCATGAAACTTCCTGCAGCGGAAGAGCATTCCGAAGGGAATTATCCCAGTGCAGGGATCAGTGCGCGGCCGCTAGGAATCTAAAATGGCGGAGCGCAGCCACAGCAACTTTTGCCATCATTCCAGAGTCTTGAGTTCAATTCCAAGTCGGAACTAATTTTTTTATTTTTTCTTCTCTCTTTTACTCATTCTTTATTTCGATTATCATTTATCAGAATATCAAAGAGGTCGACGGAGATTCAATTGAGCGATTTATTACTGAATATGAAGATGCTTGATGATGAATAGATGATTGAAACAGAATTGC